TGGCGAGTTGTAGTGGTCAATCTGGTCTTGCCCCCTTATTTCCTTGTCACTTCCTCTTTTGTAATTTCCAAGCAAATTTCTTTTGACACCTTTTAACAACAGTTTCCCACCGTTCCTCAGGTATTTCTCACTCAACAGGCAATAGTAATTTCCCATCTGTAAAAAAAGTTATCATTTAAGTTATTCTTAATAGATTTGACACCTCACACTTCCTGCAATGAGAGGCTTAACTTTGTGGACCACAATACCTATTATTCTCTAATTTAAACACTTATATTTAATCCAGATAGCATGTCCCGTATTGGGATGACTTAGACAAGGTATATGATGTGGCACTGATGGAAGCTGTGGTTCTCCCCTCTCCTTTATACAAATCACAGGCAAAAGTAAAAATATACGAGGATTTCCCAACCAAAACAGCCCCAGTCCTCCTGTTTGCAGTGGGAGTTTTCCTCCCCAAGGTGGATATCAAAGTGTCCCAGAACTTGTCCAGGCAGGACTTGAAACTACTGATACAGGCTTGGTCTTACTTCCCAGTTAGGCTTGATTCTTAGCTCATTCCCTGGATCATTTGGATTGTTTCAGTTCATTCCCGCCGGTCTCTGCTCAAGAGTACATTTGGTATCACTTGGTTTGGGTGTTACAGTCCAGTCCTCAGCTCTTTTAATCTTATTGGTGTGAATCCAACTTCACTCTTTGGTCCAGATTGCAGCTTCTCTGCCTTAATTATCAGTAGTACCTGAAAACAATTTCTTAATAACACAGGGAGAATGAAAACATCACATCAAAGTTTTCCATCACTCTGAAATTTAACAGTTAACATAGGAGCCAATCTCTTTCTGCATGTTCAAATTAGTTAAACAAGAAAGGCTAGGTTAGTTTTGACTTCAAATAAATTATATTCATTACCTTTTTACCTTTTGGTTACTATTTACTTGTTTAGCTTCACAAACTTCTTTTATCTGTTTCTTAGAACAAACCCCTCCCTTTTAACAACAAGCGTAAAAGAAAGAAAGGGAAGAAAAAAATAAGAGAGAGAAAAAAAAAATCCTATTTCAAGAAATTAAACACCTTGATGAGGTTTTCAGAACCTAACGAGCAAGATTACTTTTGCTTTGGTCTGTCATCCACCGATCTGTTTCTCGGCCTTTGTTCCGTTCCTTTCCCATTGACAGCAGTTTTTCAGGCTACCTCTCTCCCCCACCCCTGCTGCCGCAGCTCTGGGCCAAGCAGGCTGTTTCAGCCGCTCGCTCTGCAGGGGCCCACTTGCGTCCTTGCCAGTCACTTGCGTGCTGACCCTGGGGCAAAGCTCGTGTCCCCTCTTTCCCTGCTGTGCCGTCCCTTCACACACAGGACTGGCATGTTCAAACACACTCAGCTCCCGCCACTGCCGAGGGGCAGAGCCCGGAGTCCACAGTGCTCTGGTCTGGGGCTCCTCTGCTGGGCCAGCTTGCTCTTCAGCAGCAAACCTCACCCAGCGCCGCTGCAGGGCCGGCGAGCACTGCCGGCACCCCCGCACCCCTCGAGACCCCGGCACAGACACGGCGGGTCCCGCTCCAGCAGCGCCACTCACGAACCACGCTCTGCACCCTTCACATCGGGTGGGAGAGGACCGGGAGCCGCCACATCGGGCCCTGCTGTTCACCACTCACAGGGACCGGGTCCTGCTGCAGCCGCTTTACATAAAAGCAATAAAACAACACCTAAACCTAGCAACTCTTAACCCAGTGCTCCAGATGCTCCTAATATCTCCTATTTCGGGCACAATTCTCATCTCTAATCGCGCTTGAAAGTTTTTCTTGCCACAAGCCAGTGCTCACTCTTCGGAGCCAACAAGACACTTCCCACAAGCCAGTGCTCACTCTTCGGAGCCAACAAGACACTTCTCGCTCTCTTTCTAAAAATCTTTACAACTTTAATGAAAGGAAACGCAAACCTCTCTCTCTCTTTCTCTCTGCCACTATCATCTCGCCACTCTTTACGCCCCTCCAGAATCTCCACTACACAAATTATTTTGCTTCATAATCAACAACAAATTCTAACACCTCCTTTTGGGGACGCTCCCCAAAGCCATCAAATGCGCCAGACACAGAGACCAGTCAGCTAGCTAGCTACTTTTACCAACTAAAATAAACTTGCAATTACTATTTCTACTGCCTTGAACAGATCTTCAGTCAAGCTAGAAATGAAGACACAGACTTCATTCTTCTCTAAGTTTTCTTCTACAGGTACAAAGGAGTCTATCCTTACACAGCTGCTTAATGTGAATAATCTCTAGTGTAACTTTTCTCATGACAAGATATTGTTGTGAATTCATGTTGTAAATATTGGCTTTTCACAATTATTCTGATAAATATATTATATGCTTTCACTATATTCTTTTCTCTCTTAGCAAGTTATAGGCTTAGATAGGAATTCTGAATGGTAAGGATATGTCTCATCTGGAGAAGGCAAGATAACTCCAGCAGGCAAGACAATGGGAGGATCAAGCTGTGGAAAACAGGCTATTATCAGCAGCAGGAAATGGAGAGCAAACTGTTATCAAAAAGCCGGTACCAGGACGTTGGCAAGGGGGAAAGATATGAAGCCCATCTGCTCTCTGAGGAAGTATAAGGGGCCTGGACTCTTATCAACAAGTGACCATCTGCAGCAGAAAGGAAACCAAAAACTCCAAAATAATGCTGACCAGCTAGAATAATGATGACCAGCAAAAATTATGCTGACAAGCAGAAAATAAAATTGAAAAAAACATAATCCAGGAAGGTGGAACCAGGGAGGGGACATGCTTGAATATGCATTAACCTCTCACAGCAAGGATGGGATAAAAAGGACACTCCTGAGATACCAGGTGTGCTCTTGGCAGCGCGCCAAGGCACCCGGCCGTATCTCTTTGCTTTACTTTATGTCTCTTATTGTCTTTATTAAACATTTTTAAAATTTTACAGGAGTGAACTTCGTTTTTCACAATATGATCAGGTCTTTTATTCTTACAGGCATTTAGATACATGGACAAGTTTCTGACAATACCTTTATGTTTCAACAGTACTTGCAGCTTATATACTATGAACAATCTATATCAATAACCAGTCTTACAATTGTTTTCGAACTCTTCTTTCACAAGATTCATCTCCAAAAACACATGTACTTATTAAAATAGACCAAGTTTAGAGTCTCCACAATTCTCTTCTCAATTCGAAACACCAACAATCTTAATTTTAATCATTTACTGGGTCCACTTCTGCTTCTGTAATAAGCACAGCTGCAAAACAACACAAGCACTCCTAGAGACATGTGCACGTTCTTGGCAAATTCAAAAGAACAAGAAATCATGGCAGTTCTGTGCCTGATCTTCAGCTAAACACACTATCACAATAACTCCTTAGCAATCACCAGAGAGATGATCAGCATTTCATATTGTGAAAAGAGACAAAATAATTTTCAGCAGCAGTAAAAAGATTTACAACAATCCACAGGATTTTGCTTTTAGGCTGGCACCAGGTTCTGCTGTTAAGAATCATGGGCTGTGCCCATCAGCATCGGAACACAAACAACATTAGGGTTAACAGCTCTAACACTTATTGACAAACTGATAAGTTTCCACCTCAAGAAGTGACTACTATGCAAATTACTGTAACTTGCCTTTAAAATTAAAATCAACCACAAAATTCTACGATATTTACTAAAGTAAAGAAATTGGAAGGCATACTAAGAAATGGGTTTGTTTCTCTACAAAATAAATATTGCAGTCACTCAAGAAAAAAAAACAAACAGAGCTCACTTCTTTTTCCACTTTCTCCCAGGATACATGCTCTTCC